TTAACCTCTAAAGTACAGAAGGAGCTGAAAAGTATAATTTATTCCAAAAGTTAAATGTCAGAACCATTTAAAAATGAAAAAAAACTAATGATTCTAATCCTGAAGCCGAAAAAAAGAAATCAAAGTTTTAGTCTCGGCATCTATCTATGCTCCAAGAAAAACAAAGAACAATTCTGTGAAATATTTTTTCATATGCTAATAGAAACTGCAAAAGGCAAAATAACCATTGTAGAGGACATTACATACAGTGCCAGAGCCAAATTGAGATAAATCAACTAAAAAAAAAATCTTTAAAAGTTTTCCAGTTTATGACATTGGTTTTGATGGATATTTGAAGACTGAAAACTCCAGAAGCAAGAGATTACACTTTTTTTTCAGCCAGACATCAAATGTATCAAGCATCTACATTTGTTGGGTGTCCAAGGCTCTTGTACTATCTATTAACAAATCACATGTCTGTCCAATGGTATATCAAAACATAGCCAATCTTAATGTAGCAATAGCACTTAGACTTGTATACCACTTCACAGTGCTTTGCAGCCATCTCTAAATGTTCTGACCTAGACTTCCTGATACAGTAAAAAACACATGCTTAGTTCCAAAAACCTTTTCATTTCAAAGGCTGTGAATTATGTTCATTCACAGCCCATAATGAGTCCCAAAAAGTTGTAAAGAGTCCTACAATAGGCTGCCAAAGTCCTTTGGGATAAGGCTGACAAGCAGCCACCTTTATCTTCCTTAAACTGCTGCCAAAGACCTTAGCTTGGCAAAGCCACATGGAGCAGAGTCAAAACAGAGCTTCAGAAGATAAATTGGTCAGCATGAACCAAGTTGCTTCCTGCAAAGGCTCATGTGCCTTTGCTCCTCCTTTATGTCCTATGGGAGGGGCCAATCACCTCTAAACCTTACTCTCGAGTTATCCCTTCTGTCTTAACTGTTCTTGCCTTTTGGCAGCTCTGTGCATGTGTGCACTGGGAACAGTAGAAGCCTGTTCCTCTGCCTTGCTGCTGTCTGACTCTGAAGGCTCCAGAGGTAGCATAAAACTGCCAGATGGCCCTGGCCTGCTCTCTGCCTCTGACACAGAACTCTTGTCCGAGCCTTCTCCATACTCCAGGACTGGCCCATGTTCCCCTCCCAATCTCCTCGCTGCCAGCTGACTCTGCTACCAGCTTCGCAGGGCGCCAGTGGACCACAACACTAAGTAGTTTACAGAGTCAGCATATTGCCTCAAGCAATCTGGATCATCATTTTACCAATTTCGGAAAGACAGAAGACTGAGTCACCTTGAACTGATCAGGATCAAACTTCTGACAATTGGCAGAATTAGCTTGCAACATTGCATTCTAACCACTGCACCACCACAACTCTTAATGTCATGGTTTTAGGGAGAAAATTGCCCTTTATATGGAAGATATATGTCATGTTATCACTTCTGGAAGACATACCACCCAAATATGAAGAATTAAAACCCTTTTAAAAACTGAAATGTGATACCTGGGACATCAAAGACAGCCATATGGAAAATTAGTAAATATTACATGAGAATAATTCTCAGAAGGCTTGCAGTGAACCAGAAGAAAGAGCAGATGGAATTCACAATAGGAAGTGGAACTAAAACAGAGTCACAAAATCAATCCAATATAGCAAGGATAGAAAACTAAAAAAAGTCAAACAACAATTTGTATGTAGATGTATTGTAAATTGAAAAACTTTTTTTTAAAAATTAAGCCATTTTGCAACTACAAATAAAATTTTAATATCAAATCAGAAAAGAGAAAGTGAAGGACAATAACTGTGATAGAGAAAGAAAATAAAATGCTATATATACCATCATAAATAATAGAAATTGTTGTCTATCCCACTCTGCCTCCAAATCAAAACTGAAAGGCTGCAGGCCCCCCAAAAATGAAAACTACTATATATTATAAAAAGTTAGAGGAACCTAAAACTGGTGGAACTACTTTTTATGACAGTGATTGCAATTCAAACAGCAAAAACAATGCCAAAGATATGAGAAGTCATGTACAAAACCTTAATACAGGGAAAAGAGAATTGCTAAAGAAACCTCACTCTACACTAATCTATTTATTAAAAGTTGAATCTAAGAGATTGACTACTGCATTAGCTGATCATATAAGAAAATATATCTCTAAAATGATACAAACCAGACAGGTAATATTTCAAATAGGAAGATGATAAGCACACTATAGCATGTCAACTTCAAAAAAGGTAATATTTTTAGAGGTGGAAAAAGCCTTTGACAATTTGAAATGGATATCTCTATTGGAGGTTCTAGACCAGGGATGGTGAACCTTTGCAGCACCGAGTGTCCAAAGTGGAACGTGCATGCATGGGCAAGGATGTGTGTGCGTGCACATGCTGGAGCACTGGAAATCCGAACACATCACATGCCTGTTTTTGGGACAGTTTTGGCCAGTTTTGGGGCCATTTTCCAGTGCTCCAGTGTCTGCAAAAACCAGCTGCGAGAAACCAGAAGAGCAGCTGGTGACAGCGTTTTTGCCCAGAGAGAAGGCTGTGGGTGCCACCTCTGGCACGCATACCATAGGTTCGCCATCATAGTTCTAGACTAAATGAATCTCTAGAACAGAATTCATATATGGGGCATATAGTATACATCAGGGGTGTCAAACACAAGGCCCGCAAGCCGGATCCGGCCCACAATGTGGTTGGATCTGGCCCACGGGGCTGTCCTGGAAAATGTAAGGGCCTGGCCCATGTTGCTTTGGCCTGGTCTACCCAATGCAAAGAGGAAACATTGGGCCAGTGTAGCTTTGGCCCGGCCTACACAATGTCACAAATCATGGTCCAGGGACGTGCAGTCACTAGAGGCAAGGGNGGGTTAAGCCAGAGAGGATATTCAGCAGGTTCTGACCAGTTCTGAAGAACCAGTAGTGGAAATTTTGAGTAGTTCAGAGAACCAGTAAATACCACTTCTGACTGGCCCCACCCCCATCTGTTCTCTGCCTCCCTAGTCCCAGCTGATCAGGAGGAAATGGGGATTTTGCAGTAACTTTCCCCTGGAGTGGGGAGGGAATTGAGATTTGACAGTATTATTTCCCTGCCATAGCCACCAAGCCACGCCATGCCTATCAAGCCACACCCACAGAACCTGTAGTAAAAAAATTGAATCCCATCACTGGGTTAGGCTCCCATCACTGGGTTAGGCTCATATAATGAATGAATCTGAAAACTTTCCTCTTGTTGAATTTGCTCACCGTGAATCCAATAGTACCAATGTGGACTATGAAACATTCTAATTTATATGCAGGGTAGTTCAAAAGAACGAATTCTTCTGAGCTGTCTAAAGGGCTAAATCAGTTTAAAGTGTATAAACAAGAATGACAGGCAGAAATCCAACATATATGGTGAATTATTTCCATTCCATTCTGAAAGTTTGATTACATAGATGACCTTTTCACAATGTGTGTGTGAAAATACACTCAAAGCACATTACAAGAACTGGGTTTCCCCCCCTCCACCCCCATGATGTGGCTTGATATTTCTTAAAATTTGCATAGTTTGGAGTTGGATTGTGGAACAGCAAAAAAGGTTTTCATGGATGCTAACAAGAAAATGAATTAGACCTCCCTTTCCATTTCATTCTGCGGCATTCAGCAAGACTTAATAAGACTTATATTTAACATTCAAATCACCAATCCATAATAGTTTCTCGTCACAAAGATATTTATGCAACGTTACACAATGCATAACATCTACTGAGGATAAAGCTGCATAGATTTTCAAGATCTTTCTAAGAGCCCTTCAAAAATATTGCTACATTAAATCCATTTCCTCTGCCTCATTAATTAACACTACATTTGTTTTTGCTTGAATTATTTAATAACATCCCCCAACCATCCAAGTAGCCTCGTGGAAAGTGACACTTTATTTTCTGCTTGACTACTTGCTGCAGGAGCCAGAGCAATTTAAACAAAAGGTTTTGGTGTAAGACTAGGGACCCAAGAGAATGCTAAATGTGCCTCTTTCATTAAGGAATCAAAAGTAAACTGGGTAATAAACAGGAAAGTAATTTTAGCTGCTCTGATCCAATACACATTGCTGTCACCGTTGCTGTGCCTTTTACCAAACACCAGGTATCAAATATCAAAGCTATGTAGAGGCAAACGTAGCCCATCCAGACAGAAAGGAAAACAGAGCATCCAGATTGGGAATAATTCTCCTTCTCCTTTTCGTGCCTCTTCTGTATGAGAGTTGACATCCCATACCAACAAGTTCATTCTGGTCCAAGGGCTACAGCTTGGTCAAGCCCATGCTTCAAAAACAGAACCAGGGGATATGAGTCATGGGTGATGGAGTGGAGTGCAGGCTAAGCTAAACACAAAAAGGTTCCTTTATTTGAGACTTAGAGACTTTATTTGAGACCTGCATTGAGCTTCTCCAGAAATGGCATAAACCTAAGGAACCAAATAATCCATACAAAGAAATATCCCAAGCAATATTTGCTGCCTCATTAAACAAACAAAATGTTTAAAAGTTACCATGTTTATGTAGTTACTTACCAAGCACATCTAAATTAGATTAAAGAAACAACACATCTTTACAATCCCCCAGGCATGCAGGGGTGGGTTTCAACCGGTTCGCGGCGGTCCCCCGCGAACCGGTTGGTCGGCGAACCCAGAAGTAAGTAACTTCCNCTCAAAGGCTATTCATGCCCTTTTGGGGGGTAAAAAATGGGCCGTTTTGGGGAGATTTGCAGAGTACAAAAACTTTTTTAAAAAAATTTGCCTCTTCAAAATCTTGGTGTGTCTTATACTCTGGTGCATCTTGTACTCCTAAAATGATGAAGTGCATTATAAATGGCTGCTGACCTGTCATCTTTCCTGGCCTCTTACTAATAGCAGTTTTTTTTCTCTCTTCTAGGAAAAAGGCAGTTCTCGCAGTGGGATGAGTGTCATCATTTAGCCTCTTCACTCTGCTACTTTATAAAATGAGATTTTGGTGGCTGATTGAACAGCAGATTTTCATTCTGGCTTTTAATATTATTCACAACAGTCAGTAACAGGCTTATTTCTCCATCACCATCAGACTGCACTTTCTTGTATTAAAAGTTTTTAATCGTTTTTGCACTTACACTTACTAATGCAGTAAGATTTTTTTTTATTTTACAAAACAGATACTGAAACATTACGTAAATGATTTCCTTGTCTGGATCTTGAGGTCTTACCTTGATCTTAATACTTTTATTAAGAATACAAACTGGCAAACTGTTCATTAATAGGTGGGGTAGTTTCTGTTACTCCAAAAGATAAGAGTTTTAATCTTGGGTAATGAACTACAGAATTCAGTCTTGCTTTATTACACATATTGTGTAATAGGATATTTTTTTTTAAATCCAGTCAGGAAGATTTCTAGAAAATTTTGAGTCAGAAAACTTTCAGATACTAGTACATATATCTAGTATCTATAATTTGCACAAGTCTTTGCATTACATTATTTGATGTCAACAAAAATGTAGCCTAATTTGTGAAGTTTGAACATTCAAAAAAACTAACAAGTTGATAAGTGAAAAAATATTTTGCTATAACGTTGAGCGGTAGGCAATAAAAATAACATACCAGTGTACCTCCAGAACATCAAGGAAAGCGGTTAGAAGGACGTTTCTAATGAGCTTTAAAGCATGTCCAGTCACATTTAGACTGAATCATTCTAAGTCTGAGGCAGCTATTCAGAACTGTTCAAACTACTTTTGTCATTAGGAAATAAGGTATAAAGTAAAATACTGCTGTGTGTAATTGTTGGAGTGATGCTGTTCATCTTTATTATTAATGATTTACATGAGAAGTGAATGATTATCAGATTTGCAAATGATACAAAACTACTAATATGCTTAAAGAGAAAACTCAAAATGATTTGTATAGGTAATATAAAGCTAGAAAGCAGGTAGATAGAAACAGAATGAAACTAAATGATGGTAAATGAAAAGTTACTCATGAAAGAAATCAAATGCACAAATTTATGGTGCTACTGAGCTTGATTGTAATACTTGTGCAAAAGATCAAGGAATAGTCCTTGATCAAAATCTAATTGTGAGTCAGCAATATGATTAGGTTGCAAAATAAGCAATTTGATGTCAAATTTCATTAAGTATAGTTTCCAAATTAGGAACGGTTACATTGTATTGCTCAGATTCCATCTTGATTACTATGTTCAGTTTGGGCACTATGCTTTACAAAAAATTCAGAGAACCAGAGAATGACAATGAGGACGATAAGTTGTCTAGATCTAAGACTTTACAAAGGGGATGAGGACCCTATTGTACCTGGACAGAATACGTAAATTTGATTAATAATCTGCCTTCAGGACCATTGTTTCCATCACGGTATCTCTGATATCTCTACCTTTTCTAGATTGAGCAGGAAAGTCAACAAAAGGTTCGTATGTAAGTATACTTGAATGGTAGTAGAATTGATTTCTGATTGTGTGGAAGCCTCTAATCACAGTAAAGTTTATGATAGGGAGATCAAATATGGGTGAATTAGAAAACATATGAGGCGCCATTCTTCTTCCCTTAATTTAACTTAATTATAGATATAACATGTAGGGATTATGAACAGGTGTACAGTATTGTAATATTGTGCACTGTGGAAACTGGCTTCTATCATTTGTCAATTTAAACACAGCCATATTTGAAAGGATTAAAGAAACCATTTGAAATATGGTGTCAGAAAAGCTTGTATTAGTGGGGCCAGTTACTGTTTTGCAGGTGGATTTTTAATGGACTTTTTAATGGATGGGTTAGAGGATACAATGATGTTTGTTCATTATATGCCCACTAAAAGGTAACTTATACCTTTTATCTCCCTCACTCTCACTCCTGAAGCTGATTCTGGTCCTATTGTGGCATGTTCTTGGTGAATGCACTGGGAGTATGTGTCAGCCAGGAAGAGAAGTCAGGCTGATGTATGACAATGTTTGAGATGGTGCTATCATGCCATGGGGAGATTTTCACCAATGTTCTTATTGGATCTTGCTGGTCCCTTGGTCAGTCCCAGAGTGGAGCAGGGAGATGATCCAGTATAGATTGTCAAGAAGTGCCAATTGGTATTACAGCTGGAGTTTCCCTTTCCTTTCAATTTTGGTGAGCATAGTGGGCCTACCAGAAGAAATTGATGGGCATAAATTACCAGGATTTTTTTTACCTAGTTGGAAGTTTCTACAAATGGTAACCTAAAGCACTAGTAGAACATACTTGTGTAGCGGGAGCTAATGGGGTTTAAGGGTCTATTTCTAATCAACTTGAAGCTATCCTGGTATCTCCATATTTGAACCAGGTTGCTGTTACAGCTATATGTGATTTGTCAGCTACTTTCAACATTGTATCTCCATCTTTTGATTTCTATGGAGTCCCTCAGTATGATCTGTGTTTTTATGAAAAGATCAGGGAGTAGAAAGAAAGTGGATAGGGAATGGAAATGGATGGGTGGTGAATAGGAATGGATGGGTGTGGACAAGAACAGAGTACAGTAATTATTGTGGTTATTAAAAGTTGGGGATGTTTGTATGTGCTTTATGACCTTAGAGGAGGTGATGAAATTGGGATAGGACACTCTGCGGTTCCATTAAGCTCATAACAGGGCAGGAAGCAGAGGACTGGCTGGAGATGGTGGGCTCAGTGGTTAAGATCTTCCTATCTTCCAGTCCTCAGAATTCATCCTCGAGACCTGTAACGAACTGTAGGTGTAATCTTGAGGAGCAGGTGGAGATCTGCAAACAAGACAAGTCAGATAAAAGTAATTTGAGTCCAAAGCAGAAACATAACTTGAGAAAGCTGTTCTGTTACTATAATCATATAATAAAAATATTAGTATCCATGACTAGTTTCCTAGTCTGGGGCCACAAAGGATCTAATGACCTGTTCTGCCTTGAAGGACTGAGAAAATCTGGTGATCAGATCCTTGATTTCCTTAGCATCCAGCTATTACTGTTGAACACCAGAGGGCTACATAAAAGACTTGAGGATTTGATTGTGGATGAGGCTTGCACACACTTTCAATAATAGGCTATTGCTCTGGTCATCTGCATCATTCTAGGACTTTGCAAGGTGATGTTGCTGCATAAAGATGTGTTCAAAACTCAGTTTTTTGCACTCAGTGTGTTAATATTCAGTTTACACAAAGGCCTCATAGTCTATAAAATAACATATAACCTTTGCCTTCAAGATGTTATTGCAATAGTTGGGAGGAAGTACTGTTTTAGTGTGGTTGCTCCTTTTATAGTCACTGCCTTTATTTTTCCTACTATACACACTTCTTACTAGCTTATGCTTTTGTAAGTTCAAAAGATTGGATGAGGTTAAGCTATTGCTGTATGTCCTTGAAAGCACCAGGGTTTGACTCAGTTAGCCAGGCAGCTAGAACAGTGGTTTGAATGTCTGGGAATGCAGATCTGAAGAAATGAATGAATGAATGCCTAGGGGAAGGAGGAGGATGGCTTGTCTGCATGATTGCAGCTGCTTTTCAAACAAGCAAATAGCAACCCCAGTTCATTCCCTCACATGGTCTGAAGTTGCCTCACTGGCTTTCATAACTAAGGGAATGCTAGAATTCACAGTCTCCTGGTTTCTAATCACCACAGCAAACTGTGTTTCTATCAGTGGTGGGTTCTGGATCCCGTTCCAACCGGTACAGTTGGAACGGGCCCGGCATTGTCCACATGGATGCGCGCAGCACGTGCATGTGTCTTGCCATCCAGGGACGCCTCCGCGACGCTCCAGCTGTTCGGCGGAGCATCGTGCAGGCACTGAACGGAATGCGGAAGCACCAAAGACTTTAAAGAAAGATAAGGAGCATGGGCGGGTGGGCTCTCTGGAGCACTGTATTGGAGCGGTACCCGGTGCGCCGAGCAGGCTCTGGTACGCCCGTACAGGGGCTTACCACCTGGAACCCACCACTGGTTTCTATGTATGTAAGGAGACCCTTAAAATAGTCACATGCTTTGCTATACTGCATTTTACATGGGACTGCAACTGGTGCAGAATGCAGTAGCATAGGAAGTTACAGTCATACACATCTATAAAATCTCTCTGTTACTAGTAGACGTTCAGGTATCATATATAAAACCTTTCATGGCATCAGGCCTGGTTGTCTGAGGACTGTCTGTTTCCTATGGTTTCTGTCCGTCAAATATGATCTAATAGAGTTAGCATGCTAATATTTTTATATCAATTAAGCAGTGCCATCTGATGGAACCCAGAACTGGGTCATCTCTATCGCAGCACCTGCCCTGTGGAATGATAACACCCATAGATCCCACCTTGCTCTTATTTAAGCAATTGAATTAAAACGGAGCTCATTTTAGTCCCAAGCAGAGGTCTAGAGTGGATGGTGGAGCCACCCAGTGCTGTAATGATACAAGGAAGTTTTTAAATCCAATAAATAAAGAAGTAACTGAATAAGCATAATTAATTTTTGATACTTTTTAATATTTTTCCACCAGTATTTTGGGAATAGTTTTGCATAACAAAACATTACTATGTAATTTAAGTCATTTGTTCAGAACTTCGGTACAAAATAAAAATAAAAATCTGGAAAAGTGTCATTTTGTTTTCTCCCCTTAAAATATATTATGTCTGCAAATAGGGTTTTCTTTATACTGTTGATGCTTCTCTTCTGTCAGTGGTGAGAACTATTTTGGCCACATGAAGACAAGGATTTGGAGAACTGAAATGATGAGTTTCTGGTATAGAAATAGCCTCTCTCTGCAACATCTGACATGGTTAGTCATAAGTCGATTGTCATAAGTGCCATGGAAGAACTAGTTCATTCGCCTAGAGGCTGCTAGCATTGAAGTTGTTTGTATACATTGTTCTAAAAGTCTCTAGTCACTAAACTAGTTCCTGCTTCTATTAGCAAGGTGACAGTGCATCAGTGATGGGAGGAGAACAGGCAAGTGAGGAAGAGCAAACCTTATCACAGCACTTAAATGGTTAGGAGTGTGACTGACTCTTCCATTCCCAGAGAAATGTAACTTGAGCTCAATACCTGTGGTGAATCCAGTGAATGCTACACTGCATTTGTAGATCATCAGTCACCTGGGGCTCATCAATGGTCATGGGAAGAATACAATAGCTGTGACTCTATTTCTGGCAATTATCGCCTGCTGGATGTGATGAGGAAGGAGCTTCTATTCTGGACGACGAATGTGCCAAAGCTCTTTTTTTCCATTAGCCCATCTTTTGCGATTCCTCTTGCTTCATGTGTTATAAGCACTGAAATAGGCACAGAGCAATGTTATAGCCTTTTAGCTTACCAGTTAAGAGGCACATGCCCCATGAATATGCTGTGTTGTGGGATGCAAAAGATGACATGGGGCGGGGNTATATGTATATGTATATGTATATGTATATTGTACACATACACATTTATTTAAGGTAAATATTATTCAAATACATATACTTCTAATGCATTCATATAACTATCTTTTTAAACCTGTTTTTCTGTATAAACGAGTCCCACATTTCATTTTCTATACAAACTCTGTGTCTATAATGAATTCATTCATTGGTGGTAAGTCCTTATTGGGTGAAAGGAACCATGTATTTCCAATGCTGCAATTTGTGGCCTTACCTTTGGCCATAGTAAGGGAATGGAGAGTCCATTTACGTTGTCCAGTTGTCAAATTCAATATATTACATATAGTTAAAGAAAACATTATCTTTTAACAATTTAAACTTTTGCCGTGCAATCATATTTATATAATCTACTATTTCCCCCCAAAACACAGGTTTAAGACATTTCAAAAACTAATTGCTTAAAAGAAGCATTATTCAACAAAATTCTATCTCTTTTTATACAATTATAATAGAGTCCAATAAATTCTAAATCTTTGTTGTTGTTGTATAAGTCATAATTTGAGGTCCATTGACACTCTTACTACAGAAGTTAAGAGACTCTCTCATTGTCTAGGCAATATACGAACCTCTAATTCTTTATTCCACTCAATTTCATAGCATCTGTGTATAAAATTGATTTATTGATAATAAATATCTGTAAAAAGCATTTTTTTTTTAGTTTTAAAGGAGTTCATCAAGTTGTTCTAGAATCTCAGCTGTCTCAAAAGCTGAAAATGCTGCTGGTTCAAATCAAGGTTGTTAACAATTGTTATAACTGTAAAGATTGCCATAGCGGAACATAAAAACTGGCAAAGATTCTTCTTACTTGCCTCCTTCCATGTGGCTTTTACAGAAACGTGATGCTTTTGTCAAAAAGAAAGCAGTCCCACACTGCCATCCCATCTATGATGCAACACAGTGGTGGGTTTCAAAAATTTTTCGAACCTACTCTGTGGGTGTGGCCTCCTTTGTGGGAGTGGCTTGCTGGCCATGTGACCTGGTGGGAGTAGCTTGCTGGCCATGTGTTTTGTCTGTCTGTCTGTCTGTCTGTCTGTCTCTCTCTCTCTCTCCTTCCTTTTGTCTCTCTGTCCCTTTTTCCTTTTTTACTTCATCTCTCTCTGACTTTTTCTTTCTTTTTTTCTTTTTTTCTTTCTTTCTTTCTTTCTTTCTTTCTTTCTTTTTTTCTTTCTTTCTTTCTTTCTTTCTTTCTTTCTTTCTTTCTTTCTTTCTTCCTTTCTTTCTCTTTCTCTCTCTGTGTGA